TAAGACCATTGATATTGAGGGAAATTAAGGTCCATTGAGTGCTTATTCTTGTTTGTTTTTCATTTGTTGTTGGTAATGGTATTGTATGTGGATTTACCCTGCTTTTTCTTTTGCATTTTGATAAAGTGGGATTATCTATTGCCTATGTTTTTGCGAATGTAGTTAGTTTCCTTAGGTTGGAGTTTTCCTTCCAGTACTTTCTGTAGGGCTAGATTAGTGGTTACATATTGTTTAAATCTGGTTTTGTCGTGGAATAACTTGTTTTCTCCATTTATAGTGATTGAAAGCTTTGCTGGGTATAGTAGTCTGAGCTGGTATCCATGGTGTCTTAGAGTTGGTAGAATATCTATCCAGGTCCTTCTGGCTTTCAGAGTTTTCATGGAGATGTCCAGTGTAATTCTGATAGGTTTGCCTTTATCTGTTACTTGGCCTTTTTCCTTTGCTGCTCTTAATATTCTTTCTTTATTCTGTATGTTTCAGGTTTTAATTTTATGTGATGAGGGAACTTTCTTTTGTGGTTCACTGTATTTGTAGGCTTCTTGTACTTTCACTGGCATGTCTTTCTTTAAGTTGGGAAAGTTTTTTCTATGATTTTGTTGAATATATTTTCTGCACCTTTGAGGTGGGTTTCTTCACCTTCTTCTAAACCTATTATCCTTAGGTTTGGTCTTTTCATGGTGTTCCATATTTCCTGGATATTTTGAGTTAGGGATTTGTTGGACTTAAGATTTTCTTTGGTTGATGGATCTATTTCTCCTAGTGTATCTTCAATGCCTGAGATGTTCTCTTCCATCTCTTGTCTTGTATTGGTCATGCTTGCATCTGTAGTTCCTGATCATTTACCCAGCTTTTCTATTTCCAGAATTCCCTCAGGTTGTGTTTTCTTTATTGTCTCTATTTCATTTTTAATGTCTTGAACTGTTTGATTTGTTTCTTTTATCTGTTTGATTGCTTTTTTTTCTTGGCTTTCCTTAAGAGATTTGTTGATTTCTTGTATTTTTTAGTTTGTTTTTTCTCTTCCATTTCTTTAAGGGATTTTCTCATATCCTCTTTGAGGCCTCTATCATTTCCATGAAGTTGTTTTTATGGTCATTCTCTGCTGCTTCATCTGTGTTGTGATGTTCAGGTCTTGCTGTTGTAGAGTCCCTAGACTCTGGTGGTGTCATATTGGTTTTTCCATTGTTAATGTGTTTTTATATTGTCTTCTTCCCATACCTTCTTCCATTGGGTTCAGAAGGAGTTCTTTCCTCCCCAAAAAACCAAAACCAAGGTTCCCTTCCAGTGGGTGCAAGCAGGTGCAATACTCTGATGGCTTTCCTCTTCCCATGGATGGAGGCAGGACTAGTACTGGGGCCTTGGCAGTCTCTGGGTGGGCTGGACCACAGGGATGGGTTCCTCATTCTGCAGTCCCCAGGTCTCAGGTGGCTCCAAGCAGGGCACTGGAAATTGGGCTGGAAACAGGCCCGTGCTTACGTAGTCCTATGGGCAGAGAAAGGGGCTAGGAAGCTGGCAGTCTCTGGGTGGGCTGGACCCTGCCAGGATGGGATCCACTGTGCATAGTCCCAAGGCCTCAGGTGATTCCAAGCAGGGCACCAGAAGCCCAACTAACTCTTTTATGTTTGGTCCTGAAATTGCACAGGGGACAGGGAGCCATTTATCAATATCTAGAAACAAAAATGCCTTTTGTTCAGATATACTGAGGGGAAAGATTTTCTAACTGGCTAGGGTTACAGAAAATAATTCAACTTCATAGCTCCAAGAAAGAGTTACAATTTTTTTTTTTTAATGATCTAGGGTTACAAACAGGACAGAACATACATTTTGAGATTTAAAAGTGCTATGTCTTGGGAGTGCCTACTGATCTTCCATTTAGCCTAATAACTAATTAACTTTAGATCTTGTTAGTCTTTGATTATAATTATTAGTCTTCAAGAAATGTCACAGTGTAAAGTCAATCTTCAAAAGCGGGGAAGAGGTACCCTGATATTCCAGGGTTACACAGAGAAACCCTGTCTTGAAAACCAAAAAGAAAAAAAAAAACCCAACCAACCAACCAATCTTTTTCAAAAGAAAAAGAACCCATAACCTCCCCCCCAAAAAAAAACTAAAAACCCAACCAACCAACCAATCTTTTTCAAAAGAAAAAGAACCCATAAACCCCCCCCAAAAACCAAAACCAAAACCAAAACAGACAAAAAACCCAAAGAGAACCTGCAATGAGGAAAGAGTCCTCCCATTCCCTTCTCCCCCCTCCTCCCATCTGCTCCACAGAGAGGGTAAGGCCTCCCCTAGGAAGCCTACTAAGTGTGTCTTATCGTCTAGTTAAGGCAGGACCAAGGCGCCTCTCCCCCCCACCCCACCCCCCACACCCCTGTGTCTAGGCTGAGCAAGGTATCTCTCCATAAGAATGGGCTCCACTAAGTCAGTTTGTGCATTAGAGTGAGATCTTGGACCCACTGTCAGTGGCCTCATCTATTGTCCCAACCACACCATTGTCACCTATATTCAGAGAGTCTAGTTCAGTCTTATGCAGGTTCCACAGTTGTCAGACCTGAGTCGGTGATCTCTCACTAACTAGGGTCAGCTGATTCTGTGGGCTTCCCCATCTTTGTTCATATTATCGCTCCTCCCTCACTTTGATTGTAGTCCAGGAGCTTGTGCCAATGGTTAGTTGTGGTTTTCTGCATCTGCTTCCATCTGTTTCTGGAACAGGGCTCATACTGTTTACAAACATTGAAAGTAGCTTTGCAGGATATATACTCTTGGTTATTTTTTTTGAATATTTATCATTTTAAAGTGTCTTCAATGTCAATTGCATTGTTCCCATAATCTAATCCTTCCTTTCCCTCAGGTTTGGGAGGAAGCTGCTCTTCATATGTGCTTTAGTGCAACTGGCTGTCACTGAAACCTGTGTGGCATTTGCTCCCACCTTCAAAATCTACTGCTTCCTACGTTTCCTGACAGGGATTTCTATCTTTTCCATAATGACAAATGGTACCTTGCTCGGTAAGTCAAAGCTTTTGATGGACATTTTCTTTTGTTTTTTATTAAAAATTCTATTTTTTTTACATACCAACCCCAATCCCCCATCCTGCCCCTTCTCATCCCCCATCTACTCCTCATAAGGGGTAAGGCCTTCCTTGGGGAGTCAACAAAGTCTGGCATACCAAGTTGAGGCAGAACCAAGCCCCTTCCCCCTGTATCAAGGCTGAGCAAGGTATCCTACAATAGGGAATGGGCTCCAAAAAGTCAGTTCATGGCTCTGGGATAGGTTCTGGTGCCACTGTCAGGGCTCCTCAACAGATAAGTCATGTAACCCGTCACCCACATTTGGAGGGTCTAGTTAGGTCCCATGCAGGTTCCCCAGCTGTCAGTCCATAGTTTGTAAGCTTCTGCTAGCTTGGATCAGCTGTTGAAAGGCATTTTCTAAGCTTTGGTTTTGACCTGGATGTCCTTCCCACCTTAATACGAAGATTCATTTTCTTTTCTTTCAGTGATAGAATGGACAAAACCTAAATTCCAGGCCATGGCAACAGCACTGTTACTATGTGCTATGGCGATTGGACATATAGTATTGGCAGGCCTGGCTTTTGTTCTTCAAAACTGGCACCACCTCCAGCTGGTGTTGTCTGTGCCAGTGTTTTTGCTACTTGTACCCACAAGGTATGGATTTCCTTTCTCTTCTGTGTCATGGAGTCCTGGGATGACCATGCACATTTGGAATCAGGACAAAAGAAATTCATTTGCCCTTGGTCGACACCTGACAGTGTGTGCTCCTCTTTGTATTTGTGACATGAGGATAAGCAGGACTCTCAGATGAACCAAGGAAACTGAATTAAACTTGAATTTAAGATCATAAGTATTTTTATAAAATTATATATACGTGTGACAAGAGATATAATTATACCGAGGAGGGATCATTATGTGAAAATTCTAATTGTGAGTCCTGATTTTTATTAATAACTGGATAAAATGTATCCCCTTATATTCATACTATGTATAAATAAATAATTTCTGAGGAAGTGTATTCAGTACAAACATATTATGAGAATTACATATGGTATATTTAAGAAAAATGTGTACTATTTGATATTTAAATTTTGTTATACATAAGATAATTTTATTTACTAAGGAAAAACTACCTAAAAAAAGAGAGAGTAGCAATGAATCCTTATCAGACTGTTCTTGGTCTTTCTGTGTGTCTTTGCTACTAAGCATTAATTACTCAGGTTATAGTAGAATTTTTGCAAAAATATTTCATTTCATATGAGAAAAATCTTTAAAGATTAGATTGCCTCTACTGTAGTTTGTATGAGTGGATTTAAAAAAGAAAAAACATTTGGAAACTATTGTGAAATTTATCTTTGCAGGTGACAAGGATAAAAGACAAGAAGTAAATTTATCCTCACTGTTTAATGAAGGAAGAGCACAGCATGGTTTCTTTAGTTTAAAATGGGAGGCAGGGGACTGGAGAGATGGCTCAGTGGTTAAGAATTCTGGATGCTCTTCCAGAGGTTTGATACTTAGCCCTACTTAGCTCACAACTACTTATCAACTCCAGTTTCAGGGAATCCAGTGCCCTCTTTTGGCCGCTAAGGGCACCAGGCATGCATGTGATACACAGAAATACATGCAGGCAAGACACCCTTTCACATAAAAGTAAAACAAATAAAAATAAAATCTTAAAAACAACTATAGGCAGAATAAACCACTTATCTCATTTGTTTTTTACATCCCCTCCTTTAAATGTTTTTACTTTTAATTTAATTAAAAAATGTTTCTGAGACAGAGTCTCACTGCTCAGCTCCAGCTTTCCTGGGACTTGTTTTGCAAACCAGCCTGGCCTTGAACTCACAAAGATCCACTTGCCTCTGCCTACCTTGTGCTAGGTTTAAATGCCTGTGCTGCAAATCTGACTCACTTTTTTTTTCTTGGTTTGAAAGTTTAAAATTTTTATTAGCTATCTAAATAGAATGAATATATCTCAAGTTCTTAAAAAGTTTATTCTTTGAAGTTTTCATATATACATGTCTACAAGAGTAGAAGGGATCTGGATCACATCCATCCCTCACTATCTCCTTCCAGCTCCCACCAGGACCCAAACCACAACTTCACATACTATTTATTTACTTACATTTTGATCCCTCTGAGTCCAGTGAGCACTACCTATGTGCTCATGGGTGAGTCTGGGGTCATCCACTGGGTTATGGGGAAGCTGTCAGTGGCCACACTCCTAAAATAACTTTCTGTTTTCTACTAGCCATCAACTGCCAATAAATCCTCAGCTAGGGCTGGAACCTGAGGTGCCCATCCCCTTCCTGATAGATTTTTTTCTTTTTGGTTTTTCGAGACAGGGCTTCTCTGTGGCTTTGGAGGATGTCCTGGAACTAGCTCTTGTAGACTAGGCAAGTCTCAAACTCACAGAGATCTGCCTGCTTCTGCCTCCCGAGTGCTGGGATTAAAGGTGTGCGCCACCAACGCCCGGCTCCTACTAGAATTTTTAACTGGCTTGATCTTGTGTGCTGTGAACTCATGTAATACAGCCGTGCCGTGTTGAGAGGAAAGCTTTTCACAGCATTCTTTTCCACCTTCCAGCTCTTACATTCTTTCCATCTCCTCTATCACAGTATTCTCTGAACCCTGTGTGTGTGTGTGTGTGTGTGTGTGTGTGTGTGTGTGTGTGTGTGTGTGTGTGCGTGTGCGAGTGCCCGCGCTCTCGTGTTGATATAGATGTCCCATCTATGACTGGGAACTCAGTCACCTGTTCTCAGCATTCTGAACAGTTACAATGCTCTACATTAACTACTGTCCTCTGCAGTAAGAAGTTTGTCTAACTAAGGTTGAGAGCAGCACAAAATATGGATACAAATATGTTTGACAATCTGAGAACACAGCAAAATAACACCAATACTGCTTCATAAAAAAGAGTCTGAAAAGTATTGGTGTTAGTTCTTTGAGATTTTGGTAGAATTCTGTGTTGAATGCACCTGGTCCTGGAGTTCTTTAGGTTGGGGTAATTTTTATTTATGCTTCAATTTCATTGCTGGCTATGGATCTGTTTAAATTAGATCTGTTTCATGCATCTAGATATTTGTCCATTTCTTTTAGCTATTCCAATTCAATGGACAAGAGATTTAAAAATACATCCTTATGATTTTCTAATTTTTTAATAGAACAATAAACACCTTTATTACATGAGCTGTGAATGATGGTTTATTTGCCTTTCCGGGCTTTGGTCTTCCTCAGGGAGAACTCCAGCTCCTTGCCTTCTAGCACATAGCTCTCTGCTCTGCTGTATTGGCCTGGTCTTGAGACAATACAGGCAAGAAGCCTGCCCTGCTGGAACTGCTCCTCCAGAAGTCTGCTGATTTTGGCGGTCTTTTCCCTCTCATCATATTTCCTTTTTTTTCTTATTATTTTATTAGTTCAAACTAGGAACAAGCTGGCTTCACATGTCAATCCAGCTTGCTTCACATGTCAATCCCTTCTCCCTCTCCTCCCCCCCAACATCTCACCTACACCTACCCATCCCCTCCCACTCCCCAGGCAGGGTAACGCCCTCAAAAGGGGCTCACCAAAGTCTACCACATCATCCTGGGCTAGGCCTAGGCCCTTCG